ATAAGAGCAAAAAATCAATAAAATTGAAAACAGAAAAAAATAGAGAAAAATCAATGAAACAAAAAGCTGGCTCTTTGAAAAAAATCAGTAAAATTGATAAACCTAACAAGACTGACAAAAATAAAAAGAGAAGGTACAAATCAATAATATCACAAATAAAGCAATATAGATGCTGCAGTCATTAAAAAGATAATAAGAGAATACCATGAACAACTTTATGTTCATAAATTTGCCACTTCAGAAAAATGGAACAATTCTCAAAACCAAGAAACTCCCAAAACTCAACAAGGACAAAATAGGTAACTTGAATAATCTTATAACCATTAAAGAAAATGAATTTGTAATTAAAAAGCTCTTTAAAAAGCAATCTCCAGGCCCAGATGATTTCACTGGAGAATTCTATTAGATATTTTAAAAAGAATTAATCAATTTTATATAATTTCTTCTGCAAAACAAAAGAGAACACTTTCTAACTCATTTTATAAGGTTAGTATTACCATGATACTAAAATCAGACTAAGACAGTAAAAAACAACAACAGAAACCTACAGTTCCATACCTCTCATAAACTTTGATTTAAAAATTCCAAACAAAATAATACAAAATCAAAATCGAATGTATAAAAACAATGACAAGAACTGAGACTTATTACAGGTATGAAAAGCAGATTCAACATTAAGAAATCAATTAATATAATCTACCATATCAACAGATAAAGAAGAAACTCATGTAATCATTTAATTAAGGCACAAAAAGTGTTTCACAAAATCTAACATACAACCACAACAAAAACATTTCTAAAACTAGGAATATAAAGGAACTTTTTCAACTTTAAAAAGAGCACTATTAAAAAATCTACAGGATCCGACTGAGTGGTGCGTTGGTTAACAACTGGCTTGGGACGCTAGCTCTGAGCAGCAGGACCCTGGTTCGGATCCCACATGAGGGCCAGTGACACTGTGCCCTCTACAGCTAAGATGGTGAACAACAGCTCAACCTGGAGCTGGGCTGCCGTGAGTCGCCAGCGATGGCATA